GGAAACTGTGTTTTCTATGTGGTCTGCGCCAAGCAACAATATAATAATGAGGTTATGCAATCCGTTTCTAGGCAACGGCTCGGTAAACACATTTCCGCGAAAAGGGGCCTTGCTTTACAACTCGGTGACGTCATCAGCAGTACAGAAATTGTTTTCCGTGGAGTCTGTTCAGAGTGCTTATAAGAGATGTGAATGCAGAAGTAAGTTCAGGGCAGTTGCGAGTCAGTTGCCGGCAGGAGATAGCCACGGGAAGTTCGTAGTTGAAGAAGAATTATAAGTCGGCTTGTGAGAACTTGACGTGTGATCTGAAGACTTCATGTGTGCTGTTGTGCCGTGATATCTGGAGTGTGACAGTTATAGTTCCTGCGTTAAAATCCCTTGCTAGGAAACGAGTAGGGAAAATCTTTGCAGAGGAATAGCCATTGTTCAGATCTGTTACCTAGCGACGAGTAGTGTAAGCAGATATTGAAGACTTTATTCGTGTTTTAACAATTACAGTGATCCTTAGTGTCATAATTATTTTTAGTTACGATTTGTGAATATCCAATCGATTCGCCGATCCAAACCCCCCATATAAAGTTACTAATACACTCGACAATATACATTCATGCCCCCAAGTGAGGTTTGAATCCAGAGTACCAGCGTTTGAGTGCTAGAGGACAGACCTCGTCTAAGATCCTTCGCCCGCTGTGATCGGCTAGCAATATCTAGTACCATAAAAGAGCATAAGACAAGCATACCTTGTTAGTCGATGAGAAATACGGTATGCTGGTCTGTAATCATAATGGTTATATCTGCCTAAACGGTTTAAAGATCAAGTTTTTCCAGGACATGAGCAAGTTAATAAGCCTGAGCTTTGAGGTTAAATTTATAAATGAGATAGAAGATGATGATGATGATGATGAAGAAGAATGTAACTCGATATCTGTAGAATATTTGTGTTTATTTTGATATATTTGGAGCATAAATTAGCTGAACCCATGCCATGCTGTTTTTTTATTTAAAAATACTTCAATTTGGTGGTGTATTTTCGTCATAGCTTATAATATACATAATGGAAAAGCTTCAGCTCTTGATGTACCTGTATGGTGGGGTACGCTTCCTTCACTGATAGCAAATTAATCGAGATTAGGAAGTGCAGTACATCTAAGCTACGTATCTCGTATGTAACATGGAAATTGTTAACTGATCATTTCAGGACAGCATCTCCTTTACAGTTTTGACCCTTAATTAAGCTACTTTTTAATTTGGATTAAATAAAATTCACCATCAGATAAAGCTACCTGCAGAATTCATGGGAACCTCTCACGGAACCCCGAGTTTGGGTACCACGGTTCTTTGTAATAACCTGACAAAACTGTAATATCGCCCTAGCTTGCTGCTTTACTCGTGCTGACAACGAGAAAACATTTTAATTATTTACGTACACACACCAAGGCTGTATGAGCCTCTAAGGACCATGGCCTTGTTTGCGATAGATGCCTTTTTTTTCTTTATTATTTGCCTGTTGCTCTCTTAAAGCATCATCTGCATCTGTAGCCATCTTATTCTGGCCTTCCAACTGTCTTCTGGGATGTGGCACCGTGTATATGTGGTGTTAACCGACTTTTCGGAGGAACGTATCGCCTCCGTCTTCAGGGTAGAAGGAAAAATAAGAAAATCCGCAAGCGAAGAGACAGTGAGAACAGGTGCAAGCAGACTAATGTTGGAAATAAACTCAGCTTCTTCTTCTAGTTTACTTTAAAATGATCATGACGCTTGTGTGATCCATTTTTATTACATACTTCAACCACTCCGACCTTCTACTTTTAATATCCGCTACTAGAACAGGGGTTTTCTATAATGTCCTCTGTTCGTGGTTCTGATTGTCCATACCCTTTGCTCAGTTACGAGTCCATACAACATTATAAATTTCAAGTCTCAGGTATTAAACACAATTTTATCCTTTACTCTGGTACCATGTTTTATATTTGTTCATCGTAACTGGTTTTGTCACTGTTTTGTATATTTTAATTTTTATGTTCTGTTCACAATTCTATGACTTAAAAAATGATATCAACAATTTAATTTTTTTTAATTCGCTTAGTGGGGTGGTGGACTTCAACTGGGTCCACTCGGCACGGCGGCCACTGATTGGCCTATTGTAGCTTGCCCTGGGTGATTATGATGATGGAGAATTTGGTGGAATGAAGATTGGCAGGGGAAAACGAAGTATTCGGAGAAAACCCGCCCCAGCTCCACTTTGTCCACCACAAATCCCACTTGACCAGACCCGGGATC